GGATTAAACTGGACAAGATTTAGTCGCCCCCAATCCTAGACTTTGTTCAACAAAGACTCGACTTCAGACACAAGTTTGTTCCGGTACTCGGCGACGTTTTCCCGAGAAATATTGGCACGGCCGGTGTATAGAGCATCACCAGTGCTATCATCCGCATAGCAATGAATGTTACCAGTTAGCAACATATCATTGATATGCAGAAGAAACAGCGTTGGTGATAGCACACAGCCTTGTGGAACACCAGCGTTAATAGGCTTGTAGTTAGAACATGCACAGTCTACAGTGACCTTGATGCTCCGATCTGCAAGGAAGCTGGTGATCCAATTGTACAATTTCTCGGGAAGCCCATAGGAAGGGAGCTTTGAAAGAAGCGCTTTGTGCCAAACCCGATCGAAGGCCTTCGCAATGTCCAGACTAACGGCCAACGCCTCCCCCTTGGACTCTACTGCCTCCGCCCATCTATGGGTCAGGTAGACCAGAAGATCACCAGCTGATCGACCGCGACGAATACCGTATTGGCGGTCACTAATCAGCTGGTGATCCTCAAGGTACCGGATGAGCTGGCAGTTAATAATGGGTTCCATTATTTTGAAGAACAAGGAGGTGATCGCGATAGGCCTATAGTTGGACGGGTCTGAGCGGTCGCCTTTTTTAGGGATAGGGTGGACAAAACCTGTCTTCCATGAATTCGGGACTACGCCTTGGGAGTAGGAGTACCGGAACAGACGCGTTAGGACCGGTGTCAACTCCGGAGCACACGTCCTCAGCACAATTGGGGGGATTCCGTCAGGCCCACTCGACTTCTGGGTGTCCAGGGAGAGAAGTGCTTTGAAAACAGCACATCCGGCATGGAGCACTCACACCGCGGGATGGTCGGCGGTGTTCCCCCCCCCCCCCCCCGTCATCAAGAGTCGAGTTGGACGCAAAAAGGGAGCCTAAAAGGTCAGCTTTGTCTTTTGCGTCTTGGGCCAGTGAGTTGTATAGTTCGTCAACACGCATTGGGGCAGCGCGGCAGGCACTTCCTTGCACAACATCCTCTCAGAAATGAGAGTATGTCATTTTGTTAATTGCGTCTTGGACCACAAGGCTCAATTTATGTGCAAAACATCCAAAGTGTCGCAATCGCAAGCTGTCGACGTCGATCTGGCAGCACTCTCCATATAAAAATGTTTACTTTATGCTTAATGCACCAGGTTTGTAATATTGTTTTTCCCCATTTTAACATTTTAGGTTTTAGAAAGGTTTTGAAAAGGTTTTAGAACCTTTATATGGAAATCCCCTCGTAAGTCTTAATAGACTCAATGACGTTTTAATAACGTCATATTAAAATTATGTGTGCAAAACGGGCCCACGTTTTTGAACCTTCCTGAGAGCTATAGCAAAACCTATAGCTCAAATCCAGAACCTATCTAACTACTTACATAGAACCCAAATATAACCTTCACAACTTTAATTTAATGTTAATACAACCTTGCATAGTAGCTTCCAAGTTCTAAAGTAATCTTGGATGTAACTCTTTGACAACTTACAAGCTTTTTGATGGTTATGAATAAATACTTTTCAAGGAGTTCTATTCTTAAAATGTTTCTGTGTACGTAAAATATTTTTACACATAACACTAATCGTGGATTTAAATGTCGCCATTCCAAATAAGTTTCAAAATGGCGAGATAAATAATATTCATAAAAATATTATGCACTCAACTTCTTGTTTTCAGGACAAATGTAGTGCGACTGGCACTTTATCATGATATTTTAAGGTAATAGTGCTATATAAGATACGAGCCTTTCGAAAGTTACAATTTTTGGAGATATTTTATAGAAATAAAAAAAAATTATTTCTTTAAAATATTTTTTTTTACTGGAAAAGAGGCATTCTATCTTAGTCCTCACGGGTGACAACGCATCTGCATTTTGATTCCCAAACGAGGATAAATGTAGATGTCTATGGGCCACAGCAACCACTTACCATCAGGTGGACTGTGTGCTCGTTTGCACCCTATCGTATAAAAGAAATAAAAATAATGTGGAAGTTGGTGTAAAGTAGCATTAGAAATAAAACTTCTATTCATATAAAAAACATACACTTTAAATCGTAAATAACCAGAAATAAGCACACGCTCCTTAACAGTTAGTTTATTCTGCGTAGATCGGACCAAAATTAATAATTAAAAAGCTGAAGGTACTCCGGGTTAACTTTGACATCGGGACGTCAATCACCTCAGTCCCCCGTGACCACGGTTACTGGAAAGCAACCGAAACGTCGGGAATATATAATAAGTTAATTAAACGCGATAAAATCCGTAAAAATAGTTTTATTCAATGTGTAGTGTTCGCGTAAATATAAGAAATCATTACGCTCCTTAATTTTCTATTTTTTTTTTTTTTTTTTTACGCGGTAGATTTTATTCATCTTTTTGATCATCTTAATTTTATTTTATTTACGTGGTAGAGCCATGCTGCAGCTATATTTCTGGTATAGTTGTAGCACGAATGGGTCGGCTCGACCGGGGAAGGACCACGCTCTCACAGAAAACCAGCATAAAATAGCAACTTAACGCTGTGTGTTTCGTATGGTGAGTGTAGAGAACAAGAGACCCTTTTTACTGGCAAAGAGGCATTCCATCTTAGTCCTCACGGGTGAAAACGCATCTGCATCTTAAATCTTTATTGCGGATAGATGTAGATGTCTATAGGTCACAGTAACCACTTACCATCAGGTGGACTGTGTGCTCGTTTGTCACCCTATGCTATAAAGAAAAAACTAATATATTGATTTTTATTACATTTGTTTTAATTTCCGTGCAACAATATGGCCGACGTGAGGAAACTACTATAAAGAATTAAAATTATATTTTTTAAACCTGCAACAGCTAAAAGCTCTCAATGTTTGCCAAAATAAGACCAAAACGTAATCTAGCTAGCAAAACGTAACCTACTTAAAACGACAAGGCTGTTTGTTTTCACAACTTAAAGGTTATAGACAGGAGTAGTTAAGACTTACCAGTCCAAAAATCAACCGCTGAGCTCAATTAATTGTTTTCAAGTTTTGGTTCTATCGAAAGTTACAAAAGTGTGCGAACTGCTATAGGCCGTTCTTCGAATGAAAGTAAGTTAGTATTTTTGTTTTGTTATTTTTAGTGTTTTGTAGGAAGGTGAAGGACGGGGACGGATGATACGTTTAACAAGGAGCTCTTGATTAAAAATGAAACAAACAACATACCAGTAAGTACTGGATTAATTTAAAATGATATTTGTTAACTAATTATGGGTTTTAATTAGGAATGTCCACGCGAATCACCGAACCAACATAACGTTATATATATATATATATATATATATATTATATTTAAATTTTATAAAATTATTGTTAAGATTTTTAAAGTTTTTATCAACTCAAATCGATGATTTAACTACTTCCGCAAAGTGAGCTCCCGATATGGGCTGTACGGGGAAGTAAATATGAAAGGGGGCGGGAGGCTCTTACGATTCGCGCTCGGGCACGTGGCGAATATTTGTTTATTAGCTAATAGTCGCTGACGGTCATTTGGAGTCTGTTTGGAGCAGGCGCTTTTTAATCGTAAAAGAAAAGTGAGAATTTTGAGATCGTCTTGTTTTTCTTAACATTTGTTTGAATTATAGATTTACTGATTGTACTGATTTTATTAAAAAAAAATAAACAATAACAATATTTGATTAATAATATTTTTATTTATATTTTTCAAAATGCGTTGTCACATATGAGTAGGTTCCTATAAGAACAAAAATAATAGAGAACATTTATCTTGCAACTCCTCAAGGTCCTCCTCAGATTCAGACTACCTGAAATCTTGATGAAATAGAGAAATAGCTTGTATGTAACCAAGGTAGGCTCGGGGTCACAAATTGGGAGTAGGGAGACGTGCAGAGAGCCAAGCGTAAAAGCGTTTTTAAAAGTGGTAGAGCCACGCCGCAGCTTTTGCTGTCGCACGGATGGGCCGACTCGAACCGGGGTGGTACATGACCTTATAGACTACCAGCGTGAAGTAGAAGTTTACTTCTGCATTTCACCTGGTAAGTACAAGTGGACGGAGGCTAGATTCCCCCACCCCCTTAACATGGTAGCGGAGTTAAATAAAACACTACCCCAGGAGGGTACCTGCAGCTTTGGTGACGGAGATCCCTCCCTGAGCATCCACTGTTTTCAACGCCTCGGCAGTCTTGAAAAAACGTCTCCGCGACAAACATCTCCGCGTCTGCGAGTAACTCTATAGATTAAGTGATGCCTACACAGACCGACTCATCGACCACGTCCAAATGCTGCAGACACCGTGCTACAACAAGTCCCATCTGGAGAGATCTTGATCCTTGGTAATTTTAACACCCACCACTTGATTGGTTCCCGTTTAACCGAATATAGATGTGTTTATAACTTTGCCTTGGCATATGGTCTCAAACATCTGGTTACTTCGCCTACGCGGATCCCAGATGTGGAGGATCATGCACCTTCCTTTTTACACCTTCTGCCGACCTTCATCCGCACGGATATGGGTGTCCGTCGATGCTCCTGTTGGCTCTTCGGACCATTGTCTGATCCGGAGTACGGTGCCACTCACGCTACCTCGTGGTTGCGTTCTGCGGGTTGCCGCCGTGTTAACCAATATAGGTTGGCCGATTGGGGCAGGATGCGGTCTTTTTTGCATCCTACCCATGGGGTTGGGTATGTTTTTCGCCGGATGATCCCAAAGTTGTTGCTAATTCTGTCGTTGATGTGGTAGTTCACGCAATGAAACTTTTTATTCCGTCATCTGTGGTGCCTATTAGAGGCAGAACTCGGCCATGGCTTGGTCATTCCTGTAAAGTTCCATCACACCTAGTGTTTATTATGTTTATATTTATTATATTTTGTTTATTTTTTAATTATGAACTGACTAAATAAATAATCATAGATATCCTATTAGTAACTCATTCATTAATTTTTTGTTTTCAGTATGCCTTTTAAGATAATCCAAATAATAGAGAATGGAAAAGTATGCCTTTCCGTTATACCCAATAACTGGGAGGAAGAGGGCATTCTGTATTGGCCTCTCAAGATCAGAAGCCAGAAGTATGTTGGATGAAAACTCGGTCCCCGGAAACAACTGGTCGACCTATCCTTGTATAGTTAAAAGGACTTGCAGTACATATAAAGAGGCTCGTCGAGAAGTTAAAGCAATGGAAAATGTGACCGATACGAAAGAAGAAACTCAACATACTGATGTAATTCAACTTTCAGAAATTAATGATGTTTTAGATTTAAGCCATTTATTGCAAGATGGCGTGAATATAGCAGCTATTTCGACACCAATTACTGTTACAAATAACAATGCGATGGTGAGCGTTTTTATTGAATTTGCTGAAAAAAAATAACTATTTGTTGTTTGTGACATTACATTTTTCGATGAGTATCAAAATTGAAAAGAGGCACAGCAATCATAATCAATACTGCTAAGAGGTGATTAAAATAGGATGATACTAGAAAGGAAGAGATCAGTATCAGAATAATATGAATAGTCATTGAGCTTGACAAAAAATTGCTGTAGCGACGAGCGCGCACGGTCGCGTCGCGGGAGCCGCGTTACGCTGTTTCGAGATAGGACGAGGACTACGCATGAGTTTCTCACTGAATGCTGGCTATTTTCATCACGCGCTAACTTTATGACTTTTTGTATTTGATATTAGATATTTTCCTGTTGATGATGATTTATTGTATGCAGGTGAATATTATAGCACTCTTTAAAAATAACTGTATTTATATGATAATTTTTTATATTTTTAAGGCGGACCGTATAACTCTCAATGACGTCAACACTTCATTTTTACTAAAGGCTGACGACGAAGTGGTAAAAAACCAAGGGAAAATATTAGAAATACTGCAAGATGTGCAGAGCAATCAGATAAAAATAATACAACAGCTTGTGATGCATGAAGTTCTATTGAACGAATTATGGTGAAAAATGGCTGACTGTAATGCCACAGTAAAAGTTACCAATTAAGAGAGCTCCTTAAAAGAACGTTTTCCTCCACTCTAAACAATGTAGCAGCTTTTTGAGCTGGAGGATAAATCAAAGAATCCGGAATTCCTAGCATATATTTTAAAATCATGTCAACATTTTGCTCCTGGAATAGGAATCAAAGGGACCAATATTTGCTAAAAGATAATAGATAATTTTCTTTCCAGGGAGCTTTTTACATTGATATGTTGGAGTTTGCCACTCCAACATATTTATTTTTTATAATATATCTATTATCTTTTAGCAAATATTGGTCCCTTTGATTCCTATTCCAGGAGCAAAATGTTGACATGATTTTAAAATATATGCTAGGAATTCCGGATTCTTTGATTTATCCTCCAGCTCAAAAAGCTGCTACATTGTTTAGAGTGGAGGAAAACGTTCTTTTAAGGAGCTCTCTTAATTGGTAGGGACTCTAGGGACAAAAATGAAAATATTGTATTTATATTTTTTTCGCATATTCGTCAGATGTTTTTCTCTGTAATACGAAATGCTGACGGTACTGTAAGTCGGTTAGAAACTGATAATTTTATAAAAGCAATAACCATCACTTCTAGATACTTCAACAGGCAAGTAGCTATTTCAATGCTCCCACGTTTGCCATTACATTCTCCCCATGCCACTTTCACAAAATGTTAAGCTCTAAACTGCATATTTACGAGAAAAATATAGCAGCATACTTTCTCCATGCGGCGTGTTTAAACTTTCTGTAAGTTAGAACTAGAAATTAGTGTTTCAATGTGCTTAGATTTTGATGGATCTTGAATCTATTTTGTAGCATTTTTTCTTCAATATGTGCAGGAAGTCGATGGATGCAGGTGGCTCAGGACCGTGCTTTGTGGCATTCTTTGGGGGAGGCCTATGTTCAGCAGTGGACTTGTGAAGGGCTGTAATGAATGAATGAATGAATGTGCATTCAATGATTCTTTATCAATATCAGTCATGGTTTCTTTGTTGTTTTCAGCGTTGATGCATGTTATCAACTTACTTTTTTTGGAATATAGACACTGATGTTGTATTCCATAAAAATAATTCTGAATACAGTCTCAGTAACAATTTCTTGACCAATTTCCTTGCAATCTGTTAAATAAATACGATATAAGTTTGGTACGTTCTACGGTTCTGACGGAAGATACGTATTATTAGTCCTCTTTCATGAATAATGAAGCTCCTAACGTAACATTTACAGCTTCTGTATATTTTGGTGGAGGATTTGGTGTTCTGTTGTATTTTTAGGCCATACCCTCTGTAGCATTTGATACGGTGTACGACATGTATTTTTGAGTAACGTCTAAGATATCGAGCAAAAACTTCTGACACTTGTTTGTGGCCTACGCCATAGTTAATTAAATACTCGTACGTTGCATTTTTTCGATTGGATGTACGTTCCTTTTTTATCCTTCTTATTGAAACTAATTGAGAACAACGTACTTTCCAATCCCGCCTACGTTGAGTGTCCAAGCTTCAGAAATGTAGATGCAAAGAAGTACGCCTTTCTTCAAAGATGTTAAAACATCCTCTGGCAAACTTCCTTGAAATACAGGGATTATGTTTTTTTTCGGTACAAATTTTCCACTCTTGTTATCATGTGCTTATCCTGCATCTATTAAGGTCTTAGTAGTTTTGTGTTTATCAAATGACTTCTCTTTTTTATTTGTTCATTTTCCCCAGTTTTTTCGCTGGCACGTTTCTTAACTCTCTTCTTCTTCATCTTGTTGGCAACGTGTTCTTCGCCGCTGCTCTAGTGCGATTCCTCGCATGACCAATACTACACGACGAGAAGTCTAGTTTTTCTATATCGGACAAAAAGTCTATAAATTATTTCTTCACAGTTTTGTTCCTCTTTCTTTTCCTAATTTTGCCTTTGTGTCGATTTCGGCATGATTAAGTGCTTCGTCCTAGGTCCCTCTGTGAATCTCAGGGTTGATAATAACATCCATTACAGTTTCAACGTTAGATCTTCAAATGGTATTATATTTGTGGCATCAGAATCTGAGGTTTCATCGCGGGTTTTAAGCTCAATAACTCCGTAAGCATCAAATGGTGCTGGTGAGTATGAAGTCTGTTGTAGAGATCCCTAAGTAGTAGCATCCCAGTTTTATTTACAGATTTCAGAAACAGAAACTTTGACATTAAATGGTTCTGCTGCTGGTGACTTTGGAGACTGTTAAAGATATCTGTAAGTAGTAGCGTCCCAGTTTTCTTTGCCGATTTCTTTGGCATCAAATGGCGCGGCTGCTGTACATATAGACGTGACCACGTCATTTTATTGTATTGTATTGTATTGACATTGTATTGTATTGTATTGCATTTTTTTTATAGGAGGGGGGGCAAACAAGCATGCGGCTCACCTGATGGTAAGTGACTACCGCCGCCCATGAACAACTGCAACACCAAGGAGAGAATTGCAGATGCGTTACCGGCCTTTTAAAAAGGGGTACGCTCTTTTCTTGAAGCTCCCTAAGTCGATTCCACAAGGAAGTTGTGCGAGGAAGAAAACATCTTCTAAATCGCACAGTGGTGGACCGCCAATCATCCAGATGGTGTGGATGGTATCGGGAGTTCTGCCGCGATGTGCGTTCGTGAAATTTGGCGGCTGGGATTAATCCGAACAATTCCTCAGAGCACTCCCCATGGTAGATGCGAAAGAAAATGCAAAGGGATGCAACATCTCTTCGCAGTGCCAATGAATCGAGCCGATCGGAAAGGGCTCGGTCGTCGACGACTCGAGACGCTCTGCGCTGGATGCGGTCAAGTGGAAGGAGCTGGCACTGGGGAGCCCCTGCCCAGAGATGGGAACAGTATACCATGTGAGGCCGAACCTGCGCCTTGTAAAGTTGCAGGCGGTGTGCCGGCATGAAATACTCTCCGGCTCTGCTCAGCACGCCAAGCTTTTTAGAGGCCAATTTGGCCTTCTCTTCCAAGTGACCACGAAACTGCACGTCACTCGATATGTCGACTCCGAGAATACCGAAACTGGCTGAGGCAAGAAGGGGAGTGCCTTGAAACTGAGGAGATACGACAAAGGGGTTCTTTTTAGCAGTAAACGCGCAAACTTGTGTCTTCTGAGGATTAAACTGGACAAGATTTAGTCGCCCCCAATCCGAGACTTTGTTCAACAAAGACTCGACTTCAGACACAAGTTTGTTCCGGTACTCGGCGACGTTTTCCCGAGAAATATTGGCACGGCCGGTGTATAGAGCATCACCAGTGCTATCATCCGCATAGCAATGAATGTTACCAGTTAGCAACATATCATTGATATGCAGAAGAAACAGCGTTGGTGATAGCACACAGCCTTGTGGAACACCAGCGTTAATAGGCTTGTAGTTAGAACATGCACAGTCTACAGTGACCTTGATGCTCCGATCTGCAAGGAAGCTGGTGATCCAATTGTACAATTTCTCGGGAAGCCCATAGGAAGGGAGCTTTGAAAGAAGCGCTTTGTGCCAAACCCGATCGAAGGCCTTCGCAATGTCCAGACTAACGGCCAACGCCTCCCCCTTGGACTCTACTGCCTCCGCCCATCTATGGGTCAGGTAGACCAGAAGATCACCAGCTGATCGACCGCGACGAATACCGTATTGGCGGTCACTAATCAGCTGGTGATCCTCAAGGTACCGGATGAGCTGGCAGTTAATAATGGGTTTCATTATTTTGAAGAACAAGGAGGTGATCGCGATAGGCCTATAGTTGGACGGGTCTGAGCGGTCGCCTTTTTTAGGGATAGGGTGGACAAAACCTGTCTTCCATGAATTCGGGACTACGCCTTGGGAGTAGGAGTACCGGAACAGACGCGTTAGGACCGGTGTCAACTCCGGAGCACACGTCCTCAGCACAATTGGGGGGATTCCGTCAGGCCCACTCGACTTCTGGGTGTCCAGGGAGAGAAATGCTTTGAAAACAGCACATCCGGCATGGAGCACTCACACCGCGGGATGGTCGGCGGTGTTCCCCCCCCCCCCCCCCCCCCCGTCATCAAGAGTCGAGTTGGACGCAAAAAGGGAGCCTAAAAGGTCAGCTTTGTCTTTTGCGTCTTGGGCCAGTGAGTTGTATAGTTCGTCAACACGCATTGGGGCAGCGCGGCAGGCACTTCCTTGCACAACATCCTCTCAGAAATGAGAGTATGTCATTTTGTTAATTGCGTCTTGGACCACAAGGCTCAATTTATGTGCAAAACATCCAAAGTGTCGCAATCGCAAGCTGTCGACGTCGATCTGGCAGCACTCTCCATATAAAAATGTTTACTTTATGCTTAATGCACCAGGTTTGTAATATTGTTTTTCCCCATTTTAACATTTTAGGTTTTAGAAAGGTTTTGAAAAGGTTTTAGAACCTTTATATGGAAATCCCCTCGTAAGTCTTAATAGACTCAATGACGTTTTAATAACGTCATATTAAAATTATGTGTGCAAAACGGGCCCACGTTTTTGAACCTTCCTGAGAGCTATAGCAAAACCTATAGCTCAAATCCAGAACCTATCTAACTACTTACATAGAACCCAAATATAACCTTCACAACTTTAATTTAATGTTAATACAACCTTGCATAGTAGCTTCCAAGTTCTAAAGTAATCTTGGATGTAACTCTTTGACAACTTACAAGCTTTTTGATGGTTATGAATAAATACTTTTCAAGGAGTTCTATTCTTAAAATGTTTCTGTGTACGTAAAATATTTTTACACATAACACTAATCGTGGATTTAAATGTCGCCATTCCAAATAAGTTTCAAAATGGCGAGATAAATAATATTCATAAAAATATTATGCACTCAACTTCTTGTTTTCAGGACAAATGTAGTGCGACTGGCACTTTATCATGATATTTTAAGATAATAATGCTATATAAGATACGAGCCTTTCGAAAGTTGCAATTTTTGGAGATATTTTATAGAAATAAAAAAAAATTTTTTTTTTACTGGAAAAGAGGCATTCTATC